ACAGAGCCCTAGTGGACCCTCCTTCCTCCCTGCTGCCTTTCCAGTACCTGAATAAGCCACAGCATCTGTAAATGTACAGCAGGGAAGCTATCAGAGCGGTGGCATAACTTTGCTTGGTGAATTTATAAAAAGAAAAGCCATCCTCCAAAAGATAATTGAGGAGGATGGCCAGGGCCTCGGGACAGCAGTGAAGGGAGAGCCAGACTTAAGCAGTGCTGGGAATGGTCCACTCCAACCTTCTAGGAAAAACCTCTGCTTGCTTGAGATCCTAGGTCTGAAAATTAAATTGCTGACTAGCACAGCTCAGGATGTTAATGATACGTACTAAGGGGGTGTGTCAGATACAGCAATAAAAATAAACTGAATTGCCTGAGGCAGGCATGGGGGAGCTCTCAGAGGAGCGTAGGAAGGCTTTTCCAGCAAGCAAGTCTTCTTTGCAAGCTGCTGCAGTAAGATAGAGATATCGTCTGCAGGCAAATATCTGCCTTGGATCTGCTCATGCTGGTGCTTGGGAACCTTTGGAGACTGCTGATGCCAAAGAAACGGAAATACGGATCAAGCCTTAAATACTTTAGTAATGACATTATTAATCTGTGTTACATTAGCAGCGGGAGTTTTCACTCACAAGCCTCTGAGCAGAAGCACTGAAGCAAACAAGGAAACAGGTTTGTCCCAAGTACAACACGTAGGTTATGAAACAGTGCAAGAGAACAAGAGTGACATGACTGGCAGGCACCGGGTCCCAGCTTGGCCCCTGGCTAAGGTCATCGCAAATGTCAGACCTGGGCTCCTAAGAAACCCTTTCTGAGGCATTTGGGTTGCAGAGCTTTGCGATTTGGGGAAAATGAGAAATGTGGGGAAAATCAGTCCAAGAGACCATGGTGTTTTGCACGTGCACATCTGGATGGTGTGCCAAAGCACTCGGCCAAGGGGAATGGTAGCAGAGGACAGACAGACAGCTCCTGAGTGAATGACGACATTTCTTCAGAATGGTCTGGAGGGACAGCACGGGTAGCCAGCCATTGCAGAGAGCTGCTTGGGAATGCTCTGAAGCCATTGTAAGCCCAGAGCTCACAAAGCTGCTGCTGTTATCCTGCAGGAGCCTTTAAAGCTTTCTGGTACCACCAAGTCCTTAGTTGTGCCCTGTTCAGCGCTGGCAGAGCATCTGTAGAGCTTTCTACCTGCCTAAAGGTCACATTCCTGACAACCTGGTGAGCTGCCAGTTGTTAAAGGTGCATTTCACAGCTCAGCAGCTACCGGGGACTCAACAGTCATTATCAGCTGAGGAAAGAAGGGCTCGGTTTTAGGTATCTCCCTGCAAGGTGAGATTGCTTGACACTGTGACCTTGCTAGAGCTTGAATGTTCAAGCTGGAGATTTAGAGGGAGGGGGCTGTGTCTGCAGCCAGGCATTCAAACAGAGAGCTTTGGGGGTTTCAGATGTGCCGGTAAAGGGACTCTGCAGCATTGCTGAGACCTTTCTTTGCAGCTCTAGTGGTGACCCGAGGACAATAGGGTCACCCACCAAATCCCTGGTCTGCTGGCCATAATGATGGTGCAGAGGGGTTAGGAGAACAGGTGATTTTCTAAGGGCTGTTATGAAATCTGAAAGGCACAGTGCTGTGATTAAGGTGGGGTCCTGAGGCCACCAGTGCAGGGATGCATCAGGCCCAGCTCCTGCAGCTGAAATTCATCAGCATGTTCCACCTCCGAACAGCTCTTGGACCCTTCTGTCTGCACTCTTACTGGGTAACATGCTTTATCCTCTGTCTCACCCCTTTTCTTCTCTCTGTGCAAACCTCATACCCTAGGAAGTGTAGCAAAATGGAATTAAAAGATGAAAAATAATTACTCCAGTTATTGGTGGCTCGGGCTAGATGTGTGATGCTAAATTGCGGTTCTCAGGGTTGCCAGAGAGGAAATACAACATTTATTACTTACTTTTTTTTTTCATGGAAAATATTAAATTCTTCTGCAAGCTGGTTATTTTCCCCAATGTTCAGCTCTGACCCATTTACCTCCTTGCCAGAGGGTAATCACACCTCAGTGCCACCTCCTGAACAGAGTCAGGACTGCTGCTGTGTGTGTCACTGTCACTTAGTGCCAGATGCCAGGGGAGAGTCTCCTACCCCCTGGCACAGCTGAGGGACTCCAGCCTCTTCATTAACGCCACAGCGAACTTCCCAGCAGCTGCTGCCAGCTGAGCAACGTCAGGCAGTGGCCCTGCCTGTGTTCCAGCCTCTCTGTTCACAACTGAAGGGAGGGGGGTTTGAAGTTTGCACTCAGGTGTAACTAACTTCTCTGTGCCCTGAGCAGTGTATATAGTACTACACCTAAGCCTCCCTGTCTCTGCAAAGCAGTGGTGCTAGTTGTATGTGGCTTCTAGTTGTAGCAAACAGATACTTCTTCTTTTTCTGTCTTTAATTGCTACCTTGGAAGGACCTGTTGCCACCATAGGCCTTGCAGTGTGCCAGACAGATGGTGAGGAGCCAGTTCATTACCTCCTCTCGAGAGAGAAATGATGCAGAATGATTTGGCTGGCACAGGCGCACATGGGTCAGCATGAGGGACCTGCAGTAAAACCTTCACATGCAGCACCAGGCTGTGCACCAGGCTCCCTGCACTCCCGTCCCCGCAGCGTTTGCCAGAGTTAGTGGAAGGGGAGATGAAGTCTAGGGAAAGCTGCAGGGGTGAAAGTGCAATGCCACGCACTTACCCAACTGTCTCCCGCCATGTGCGGGGTCAGTAGTATAGAGCTCTAGACCTGGAGCTCTGAGTTGATGGCACTGGTTGCGGATTTGTCCTGCATCTGCTTATGGTGCTGTTGAGGACGAAGCTGAAGAGCTGACAGGAGAGCAGCATAGCTGCTGATCCCACTCTCAGAACCCAGATTTGGGGGTGATGTGTGCTGGGAGGTCTGTCGCGCTCTCTCAGCTCTGAGGTGGCCTTTGCTCTGTTTCGTGAGGGGAGAGGAGTGGCACAGCTGTGCATCTCCTGTGGACTCCAGCACCCCTTGACCCTCATGTTGTGACTGGCACCACCAAGCTCCCAGCCCTCAGAGGAGGGCAGTTCGCTACCTCAACCTCTCCATGGCACAAAGGGGCCACTGGTGTGTCTGGGTTTGGTGGAGGCGTGGAGCAGGTCGGGCTATGGCAGAGTGGGAATGGGCTGTTTAAAAGAACACTGAGTGTCCCCAGTGCTCGGTGTTTGCCTTTGGCTGGGCCAGCTGCTGGAGCGGATGGGAGGAAGGGGACTGGGGCTAGCTGAGCACAGTCCTGCCTCAGCAGGGAACAGGTTCTCTTCTGTTCAGCAGCTTTATGGCCACCTACTCTGTGGCCAACTACGAAATAAACTGGTACCATCCACCTCACTGATACTGCACATCCGTGACATATGATTTGAGGGCTGTCTGCCCTTGCAGGACATAAGCCAAGGAGCAAGGCTGGCAGAGGCAGACACTTCAGCTCACCTCTGAGCCAAGCCAGGCAATCTCCTTCCAGCTGCAACCCGCAGACCTCAGCCTCAGGCTGAAGCTCTTGTCTGTTCCTCTCCAAAGGCAGCCCTTTGCAGGGGAGTGCATTTGGTTCAGGGGTTTGGTCATTGGACTGGTAGCAATGCCATGTATGCCTGTACCAGCACAAGTCACCTGTTGTCCTTCTTGCCCTTCAATCAGGGTTCAAAGTCCTCCCTACCTCCCAAAACACATTGGTAACTCCTGGCTGGCCTGGGCATTAAAGAGGGACTCAGCAACTGAACTCCCTTCTTGCCCTGCAAAAGGATGGGACAACATTTGACAGGTGAACCTGCTGTCCCAGGATATGTTTGACAAACAGGCAGGGTGCTGAGGGCTCACCAGAGATGCCACCTCACTGGGACACTGAATTTGGGCTGAATCCAGGCTAAACATTTTCAATTCCTCTGAATCGTCTATACCTGCAGGAGGTTGAAGTCCACCTTTATTTGTCCTTCTGCCAGTCCCACTGAGATTTCAAGGGCATGTATCTCACAGCTAAAGGTGGCCTATATACTTTGATGCTAGGATAGACTGTCTCTCCCCAGCCTGTTTACGCATTTGATTTCTGATTTGCAGGAGGGGCTATGGACCATGTCCCCAGGTCTTGTTAAAGAAAGCAATTTCTGCTCTTGGTTTTTATAGGGCAGTTCTCTCAGCAGTGTAAATCTGAGTGGGGAGGTTTTATGCTGGATGACAGAGAGGAATCTGGGCTTAGGATATTTATACTGTAGCTTATACAAAGCTGTTTGACATAGTAAAAGGATTTGGGGGAGTTATTTCTTTTTTTTTCTTCTTCTGAGGAAGAAGCATTGGCGCATTGGCATTTACCTTGGAACGCAGCCTGAACATGTCATCACCTAAAGGCAGGGTGCCCTGACCACAGCAACTTGTGTTGGTTGTTACAAGTTTTGTGGGATGTGCGTTGCCGCTGTGAGATCCTACCTACTGCTGTAATCCTGTCAGATCTCACAAAGTGGCACAGATCCAGCTCATGGGAGGCCTCTGAAGGAAAGCTTGGCTGTCTGAGACACTTCTCATGGTAATAGGATGCCCTGGCCGAGGACGCTGCCTGGCTTCTATTTGAGGTAGCAACTGAATGTCCTGGTTTGTGATGGCCACCACAGACCTACTGTCACGGGGATGTTACTTTCGGTGTCTTGCCCCTAGTCCGTCCTGCCTCCCTCAGGTCTCTCTGCTTTCCTGGTGAGATGCAGGATTCCTCCCCATTTCCTTTTCAGCAGTGCTGACAGGAAACATGGGCCATGCACTGTTGAACAACTGCCGTGCTCCACCCCAGATGTGGACCAGGTAAAACCATCTATGCGTAGGGTGCACATGTAAGTCATAGGTGCTCTTTGAGATCTCCAAAACCACCACAATGATGTAAAACAGCAATGTTCCCCATGTAACTAATCTCTTCTATTTTTCCTTCCTCCCTCCCTCCCTCCCCCTTGTCCTCTCTCCTCTCTCCATTGCCTCCTGTTGCAGTGGCAGGCCATCTCTCTGACAGTCATTGAGAAGGTTCAGATAGCAGCAGCCATCCTGGGTTCCCTCTTCCTCATCGCCAGTATCTCGTGGCTCATCTGGTCGACCTTCAGTCCTTCGGCCAAATGGCAGCGCCAGGACCTGCTCTTCCAGATCTGCTATGGAATGTATGGCTTCATGGACATTGTCTGTATAGGTGGGTGATTGCATCTCGTGGCACGGCCGAGGTCGCCCGCCCACTCACCCGCGGAGAGGAGCGGGAGATGGCATGGAGGGCCAGCTGGTACAGCTCAGCTCGGATTGAGCCTCCCCAGCTTTTCCTCCTCTTTGCTTTTGCGACACCTATTTTAAAGTCCTCTCTGCTTGTCTGGGCAGCCCTGGAGTATCTCCTTGGCTGGGCTGGCAGAGCAACCTGCAGCAACCCCAGAGAGAAACAAATCTCTCTTCAGAGCAAGAAGAGCGTGGGGAGGTCTGGGGGAGGCTGGGAAGTGTAAGGCTTTTGAGAAACTCCTTCCTTTCTGGTATAACTAATTTAGGGACTGTCCCATGGTTGAGTATGGCAGGGTCTCTCCACATGCAACTCCTTGGCTTTCCAGCCCAGTCTCTCTGCCGGGCAGGGGTGGCTGCCTCTTCCTTGGCCCACCCTGGAGCTGCAAGTCCCAACCAGCCCAGGTCATGGCCCAGCCTGGCGTCCTTGTCAGGTTGCTGGTACAGAGTAGCTCTGAGGAAGAAGCTGCCCCACACTGAGCAAGCCCTGACAGCAAAGCAGATGCTGACAGCCTGGCCCCAGAATGTCTCCCTGAGAGCAAGAGCTGTAGCCCCAGTGCAGGCCTGCAGGATGGGGGGATGTAGCTAATGATACCTATGGGCAGAGGCACTCACCAGCCAGGCCATTGAAAGAGCGGTGGTTACTGAAACAGTTCAGTGAACATCAGCCACCTCCAAACATGCTCCTGAGCAGTGTCCACCCAAGCATGGGCCATCAGATAACGTCAGTTCAAGTGACCCTGCCAGGAAGCAAGGAGGGTCCCAGAGAGCTCCTCATGTCTGGGTCCTTCCATCATTGGTATAAAGACAGAAGGGGCCTCCCAGAAACTTGGTAGGACAAGGCAGTCCTCTTGACTTGGTGGATTTGTGTTTGTGTGGGCAGGGCCACTCCAGAGAAAGGAGCACAGCCCCCAGTTCAGCCCTCAGCAGAAGCAGCACAGACATTATCACAGAGCAGCAGTACAGAAGTAAAACAAACCCAATGGCAGGGACAGAGGTCTGGACAGCACACCCTGGTATCCAGGTTCAAATGGCTCTTGGCTTCAGCATCCTTCCAGCACAGGACTTGGGCCTGCCGAAACCCAGACCAATTCCTCCCGCTGTTGCCACTGCTGTGCTGACAAGGAGATAGCCTGTAGACATCATTCTGCTCTTCCATGAGATGGTGGTGGAGCTACCACATGTCTCCAGGAACGAAGGGTGGCAAAGAGGGCTGAAAGAGAGACGGGCAGCACCCACATGTTGGCACAATAGCCACTGGGGACATCCTCTTGCTGGTGTGATTGGGAGTGGGAAAAAATTATCCCTGTGTGTGTGCGGTGTGCGTGTGTGTCCCCTTGTTGGCAGAGGACAGAAGTGGAGAGCCCTGGCCTGGGCGGACGTCAGTAACATGATTAACTGGCTTTGATAAAGCTTCAAGAGCTGAGGGGAACTGATTAGCTCATCTGTCAACAGGAGCTAAATCCTCCCACACGGCAGAGAACAAACCACGCCAGCCATGAACTGAAGGGGAACTGGGCAGACAGATTTGGATTTGAGGTTTTTTTGTTTTCTTATTAATTTTTTTAAGGGTCTGGCCTCTATTTCTCTTCTCCACCTTCTCTGAAGGGAGAAAAAGCCCCTTTTCCATCTCCACTGATGTCACCATCAAGCTTAATGCCCTAAGCTGGGATCTTTGATTTTTTCCAGCTAAAGATCAAGCAGCCATCCTGTTCCCAGGAACATTTCAGAGTCGTGGCTTGGGGTAGCCCCTTGTCTCACGGTCCTCCCTGCACAGCTAGCAGTCTTGGTGAGCCAGGCATGCTGGCTTTCCCACGAACTCAAAAGCAAGTGGGAAGCATTACAGATGCAATGAGTTAACATGTCTGTATGTGGCTTCTCTTGCCCAGCACCTCAGAGCAGTGTCCGCCTAGACATGGCTCCACTTGTGTGCAGCATGTCTGCCTGTGCTGCCAGGCAGCCCACCCATGCTCAACCAGGAGAGATGATGTTCTGGACCATGCGAGCCTTTCATACATTTCAAACGTTTCCCTAGAAAAGCTCATATGTGCATGCAGCCAGCCCTTTGCCCCTGTCACGCTCCAGTGTAAAACTTTCTCGTATTGTGTGCATCAACACCCTTTGCAATCCCAGCTGCTGCTGCTGCTGCCGGGTCTGCAGTGGAGAGGAAGGGCAGCTCTGAGCAGTGCTAGCTGAGATCTGCTGTTCACTCTCCTCCCTGCCTCCTCCTCTTCTTTCTCTGCACAGGTTGAACCAAGTGACAAATGAGGTCTTCACGGGGAGCTCTGGCTTCCTGGCTGTCAATGTGGTCAGGTCTCTCCTCTGAGTGACTTCTCTCCAGCCCTGCTGATTTCAGGGGGCTGCACTAGTGCTAGCCAAAAGGCTGGTCTGTCCCGTGGAGAGGCCAGGCCAGGTCAGGTCAGCAGAAGGGGCTGATCAAAGGGAACTCCACAACTGGGTTTAATTCCTTATTCATTATAGCTTTGCTCGACTGTGATGGATGCAGCAATGCCAGCTCCCTAGAAGACTTGCAGTGAGTTCCTCACTGTGGAACAGCTATTCTCCTTCTCTTTATCCTTCTCCCAAACCTTGCAGCCTCATGCAGGGTCTTTGATCACAGCTGGGCAAAGCTGGCTCCGTAGATTCAGAGTTCTGCTCCTGACTGCCAGGATGGCCCAAAGCCTCTTGCTACTCCTCCTTGGGCTTTAGTTCCACTTCTGTAAGTTCAGAAGAAAACCTCCCATGGATAATGGCAGTGACAACGGTTCTTGAAATACCAGGGTGCTGTCTATGCATTTCGGTGTCTCCTCCTCCGCAGTCCAGCCCTTTTCCCCTTTTGCTTTCCAGCCTATGGGTGGGTAGGAAAGATTTAGCAACTAAGAAATGCTCAGCGATGGGGAAAGAGCAGGACATTAAGTGCACTCAGTTCTACCATACTTATTTTTTTCAGCTAATATAACACACATATCGTCTGTGCATTGTTCGGTAACAGGCTGGTCAGCCTTAGCTAGCAGAATGTTATACTGTAGGTCCTACACTACTTGTATGATTCCAATTGTTCCTTCTCCCAGTTTGACCCCAAGTTTTGCTTTCACTGGCAGAGGAGCAGAGGCTTGAAAGACAAAGTATTTACTAAATAGCAGATGCGCTGAAGCAGAGCTCCTCTCTAGTTCCTGCCAGTTCCCTCTTTGGTTGTCCTTGGATGTCTCATGTCCATTGAGTAGCCAGTGACATTTGTCCAGGAGGCCTGTGTACACACCCTGTCACTGGAAGTGCTCAGCAGGACACTTTCTGTGGCACTCTGGAGTCTCAAAGCTGAAGAAGACACCAAATCTGCAGAGATCCTGACTATCGTCAGACAGGGAATATGCACCTAGTCAGCAACTGCCCAGCTGTTTTGTGTGATCTCCTCTCTACCAAGTCATTAAGGGATTTAGGTAACAATTTGCCAGGTCAGAGATATCTGTGGCAATTTGCATGGGCAATCCCATGGCAGCACTGGTCTTTCCAATGTGGAGTCAAAGGTGAGGGCACGAGTGCTGACTTGCACGTATGGCTCCCTAAACACAGATCATTTTGTTGTTATCTTCACTTGAGCTGTACTTGATCTGAAATAGTCAGATCATCTCCAAGCTGAGCTCTCAAAATACAGCTGTTAACCCAGAGACTATTGATCCATGCATCAAAATCCAGGGGTCTTGGGTTTGACCCTCAGCCAGTCACATTCAGTAATACACTATTTTTCTTTGGACTTTGCTAGATCTTAGCATGCTCCACAAAAACAGTTGTAAGGGATAGACACCATTTGCTACCCCTTCACCCACCACGGAAACAAAACCACAACCAAAGTAAAATGAATCTGCTCCTCACAACCAGCAGGACAGATGGTATGGGCCCAAGTACCAGAAGCTATGTCCATCTGGGCAAGATGTGCAAAATGGTCTTTCAACATTGTTCTTCCCCTTGCTCTCAGACATCTAACAGGAGGGCAGGAAGCACTGGAAAGGATTGCTTGGGATTTGTGGGAGTCTCCAATACTGGATTTTTTTTTTTAAAAGTCTGTTAGAAAACATATGTCAAGAACATGTTGTGGAGAGATGATCCCATTTTGTGAAGGAGGAACAGACAAAATGCTTCTTCATATACAGCCAGGCCCAGCGTCTTTGATTCTGATCGATCTCTCTCTTTCATGTGTGCTATCTCTGGTCATGTCTGTGGGACAGATATGAGAGTTGAATTAAACTAGAAACTGGTAATGATGCCAGTATAGGTATTGCTCTGCTATGAAGCCATCTACAACACAGACATTTGAGATCAGCAACTAGGAAGTGAATGAAAAGTGAGATGGAGACTGTTCATTTGATTAACTGCTCTCTCCATGGGTCCATGAGAGGTAAATCCAAAAAGCTGGCATAGAGAGGGATTAGCAGAAATGCAGTTATCAAAATGCAGAGATAAATGGAGTGAGCCTTCACAGGCCTGAGTTACTGAGCAGGGAGAGTAGCAGCTTAGAGCTGGGCTGTACATCCTGAGAGATACGTGCCTGTTAATTAAATGACAGTCCTTGGAGGGGGAAGGAGAGGTTTGCCTCTCTCTCTGTCAAGGTGCAATTAGGGAAAGTTGGCGTTTGTAGATTAAGGTGTCATTTGGGGTCAGGAGGACAGGAAACCATCTCCTGTTAAACAAAGAGGAACTCTGCCAGCTAATGATAGTATGTCACAGTCTAGGCTCAGGCATCACCAGATCAGCTCCAAGGGGGAAGCGCGTCTCAGGAAGGCCATTAGCAGGCTGTGCGCACAGGGCTGGCACTGTCATGGTTTGTGTGCGCAGTCCTGCTTGTGCTCACACAGGGGTATCCCTGTGGTTGGCATGAGGGGGGCTTATCCCCAGCAATGCGAAAGCAATCCTATCTGCCTCTCCTTGGGTCAC